GGTGTGTGACAGATGGCAGGCTCTGCACCACATGCTTGCTGCCTTAACTCCTAAGCCCTTTGCCCCTTGGATTAGCCAGGTATCAAAAGGCAGCCCAAGGCTTTAACGCCTTAACTTTCACACACTAACAAGACAAAGCTTTGAGTCCGTTTAGGTTTGTGCAGCTTTGTTCTGAAGATGCTGGAAATGAGACCTACTTAACTTAGAGGAAATGCCAAGTAATTGATGTCAGGACAGAAGCCTCACAAAGAGGGATCGAGACAGTCAGCCCGAACTGAATCGGGACGGAAGCCTCACAAAGAGGGTGCGAGACAGTCAGCCCGAACTGAATCGGGACGGAAGCCTCACAAAGAGGGATCGAGACGGTCAGCCCGAACTGAATCGGGACGGAAGCCTCACAAAGAGGGATCGAGACGGTCAGCCCGAACTGAAGCGGGACGGAAGTCTCACAAAGAGGGTGTGAGACAGTCAGCCCGAACTGAACCTTAAACTCTGTTAATGTTATTTAAGGCCAACATTCATCTGCTTCATGTTGTTATCTACAGATATGAGGCTCAATATTATTTTCTTCAAACTGGCATAATTCCATAGTAAGTAAAGGCTAAAAGAACGACATAAACACCACTGGTACAAATATTAGGCTGGAATTTATAAAATGGGGGGAGCAAAGTAGTGCAGTTCAGTGAGCCACCTGGAGCTGGTGAGGTGGGTTCTACCCATGGCTCTGACTCTGGCATCGGGCAAAACACCTTATTTCTCTGAGCTCATGGGTGGAACCAGCCACTGTGAGGTTTAAATGAAATAATGGATATCAACATGCTTTCTTGGCCCATAAAGGCATCTATCTATACGCCATCTTAAAGTTCCTCCAAGAAGTGCAGGAGGAAGTCTAACAAAAAACAGACTTTCCCTGGCTCCATGCCCACAGGCCCGTGCAGGGCACCCCAGCCTCACCAGACAGCACCCCTCGATCCTCAGCGTCGCTGTCACTGTCCACAATGTCATTATGCTTCTCGATGTCTGCCAATGATTGGCCGTAATGAGTCAATTCTTCATCTTCATTTAGATTGTAGATGCTTTTTTTCTCATGATGTCGCTGACAGAAGAGAAAAAAAGTTTCCTAAAATTACCACATTCATTTCATAGCAAAAAAAAAAATATATATATGTGTGTGTTTCCATGATATCTGAAATATGACAATGCAGCCTAAGCAGGCTTAAAGAGTATCCTGGGTCAACTTGGCAATGACTCAGACATAAACAGAACTCATGGCGGGGGGGGGATTCTTCAATAAATGCTGGGGCCCCTATCCGTCCCAGCAATGCTGCTCAGGCCCCTGGCTCTCCACCCAACAGAGCTGAAGGCAGCAGCTCAGCTGAGAACTCCAGGACACACTGCTGCCGCATAGTAAAGACACGTATCCGTTCAGCTAACATCTGCAGAAGGGGCAGCTTCACCTTTGGCCTAGCCAGGTAAGCGGAGGGTTCAAGGGCTATGCCCCGGACCTTACGAGTGCCCAGGCACATGCGGAACGTGCAGAATCAGACTTCTCCCTGAGCTTGGCTTCTCTGTGAATGTACAGCAAAAGCCCTCCCCCAGTTTCCTTCCATACCTGCTGCTCCAGAGCAAACCTCTTCATCATCTTCTCCTCGGGGGTCATGCTGCTGTTGTATTCTCCAAAGCGTTTATCTCTGAATACATTGGACTTATCTCTTTCTTTGTACTCCTTTAGTAAAGTCTGTGTACGCTGGAAAACAGGTCATAACACAATCTCACAAAAAAACTCATGATTTCCACTAAAGGGGACATGAGAAGAGTGCACACTTTGAAGTTCAGGGCGATGCTCAGTGACGTCAGAGTTCACACACAATCTGCTTTCCTCTATGACAGGCTTGCTCTACTAGCGACAGAATTTTGAGAAGACCAAAACAACTCTCTCGATGATAACGGACCAATCACTTTCTTTACCTCTTTAGAGTCTGTCGGCGCCAAAAGGAAGCGTAAAAAGCACACTGGTCAAGCTCAAGGCCTGAACGGCTCCCTCGGACACAACAGCTGCCTTACAGTTTGAGGAAGTGTGCGCCAGAATCATTTGGAAAAGTGGACACAGGGTTAGACCCCTTCCAACATGGAAGAGGGTACCATTTCCCGTCAAAGGCACTCCTAAGCAATGTACAGTTGCGGGTTCATATTAGACCAAAGCCATAAACGAGTGAGGGAGGCCACCACAGTCTAGGCTTCACCCTTTAGAACACCAAGAGGAGCAGCATTTTAACACAGAGAGCGAGTATCAAATCATTTGCTATTTTCCCAGCAGCAACAAAAAGAAGAACAAGTGTAATATCATTCGAAGTCGGCTGTCCTGGAGGCTGGGATCCCCTAAAGCTGGGAGAGGGTCGAGGTGGGTAAGGGGCGTGCGGCCTCTGCAACCCGAGACAGCCACATTGCAAACTCTTCCCTGCTGCCAAAGTTCTTCTACTGGCTAAGGAACTGCCGTTACACTGGTGTTGACACAGTGATTCCAGAAGGAACTGGCACCAAGGCACAATCTAGATGCAATGGAAGGCGCTGGAATGATCCAATTCAGCACTTTACAAACCCACCACAAACTGGTGCCTTGGCAGACACTGGAAACTGCTGATCTAACCACAGACTTTAGTGTTCCTTGCTTTCTTCAGGGATTCCTCTACTTTGTGAAGTCACTTTGAAGGAATGTGTGCGTGTGGCAGGAGGGAGTATGTGGTGACCTGGTCATTGCCACTCTGGTTCCAAGTTCTGTTTCAGAAGGAGGCAGGCCAGATTTTGCTCCCAGACATAGGTGACTTCTCCAGGGTTGGAGGTGAACTTAAAGGCTAAGAAACCCCCACTTAAGGTCAAAATCAGGAGCTGGAAGTAGAGAAAAGGAGGCCGGGAGCGCTGGCTCACACACTTGTCATCCCAGCACTTTGGGAGGCCAAGGCAGGCAAATCACGAGATCAGGAGATTGAGACCATCTTGGCTAAAACTGTGAAACATTAGCTGGGTATGGTGGCACGTGCTTGTAGTCCCGGCTGCTCAGGAGGCTGAAGCAGAATTGCTCGAACCCGGGAGGCGAAGGTTGCAGTGAGCCAAGAGTGCACCACTGCGCTCCAGCCTGGGCGACAGGGCGAGACTGTCTCAAAAGAAAAACACAAGAGCAGGAAAGGAGAGAGTGAGGGGCTAGGCGGCAGCTGGGCAAGGGCAGAAGACACCACGGCAGGGACGGAAGCACGCCTGGCCCTCCTTTCCGTTTACAGCACATTCCATCTGAAGAGGTCAACTGAAACATTAATCGTGTGGACAGGAGACAAGGATGTGAAAAAGTCATTTCTCTGACCTCACTTTGAAATGTGAAAGTTCTAGTGGACTTAAAATGCATCCAAAAACCCTCCGCTGCCTAAAGAGTAGGAAGCCATCCATTAGTTTAACAAATCCCTCCAAGGCAATTTTCATCATTTTCTTCAAGAATGCTTCAAGAACCAATTTCTTTGCAAACAACCTGAATTCTTAATCCCTAGTAACTTCCTACTGTGTCGGTGTTAAAAAATGTTTGTTAAAACATGTGGGCACAATTTCCTGAACTGGAGTCTAAAGACAGCAAGTGTCCCTACATAGGCCAGAGGGCTCTGTCGTTGTCACTTGAATTTAGGAGCCATCGGTTGAATGTTCGAGACGGAGGAGGAAGGTGCCAGAACAAGGCCCTGCTGGGTGCGGTAGTGAACCATGCACAGCACTGAATGAGGTTCAGCTCCCTGGACCTCCATCACTCTTTATCTGCAGAGTAAACATTTAAAACAACATCCCACTATTTACATCACAAGGTCTAGCTGGCAGTCAGATGGGAGCACATTGCATGTGCTAGCCTGCACTGCTCTATGAATTCTGTACAGACAGAAGCTGCTTACAGGCTACACTGAGAAGACTTCTGAGGTCTGTGCCTGCAGAGGGAGGGAGAATCACTTGCTTCTAGCAGGAAGGAGGTAGATGGGGCAAGCATCAGCCATCTCTGCCTCTAAAAACATGAGTTCTCATTATCTGGAATATGATTCTATGGATAAATCTTAGTGAAGAACAACCCTTAGGCTATAAATACATAATATCAGTTATTCTACATTATTCTGATTCTCTTCTTTCTTTCTTAAACTATAATAAATGTTGTGACATTATACTGAATTTACGGCATAAAATGGGGATGACAGTACCTCCCCCTCATAATGGTGAGGATAAAATATAAACCACTTGGTGTGGGTAACCCCCCATATAGGCACCGAGGAATGAGAGCTAAGCAGAGCCCTGGCACAGTTAGGGCTTGAGGAATACTTCACTTTATAGTGTTACTACTCAGCTATTTCCTTTTATATAATCCTTTACATAATCATATATTAGTTTATAGAAATAGGGCTTGAAAAATCCCTTTATATAATCTTCTATATATAATCGTACAATAGTTGATAGTATGAGTGCCTAAAGAATATTTCCCTACATATATACCTATGATTATATCTTAGTTCATAATCGGAGGAATGCCTGGAGCAGACACAGTGCAGAGCATGATTTAAGGGAAAAGTTACACCAGGACAAGAATCCATGGCCCAGGCGGCAGCGTTCAGTATCGTAAAGATACCCGCTGGATGGCAGGCTTGGGGCGAGAGCCACTCCTCCTGATCAAGGAGTTGTAGGACCTTGCTCCCCTTCTTGTGGAAGGCCGCCCTCAGAACGGCAATCCACCTTGGTGACTATGACCTTTATCAGCTCTTGCTACTGTGCTGCTTGAAAAGCATCTTCCCATAGAATCCATTGGAAGCTGCCAGAAGGTGGCGGTAACCTTGACAGCTCTGTCACTGCTGTGTGACTTAAAGCATCCTCCCATAAATCTTCTTAGAAGTAGTTTTCCATAGACAGAAGTATCGCACACTGCACCCTCTTCACTTTGCACGGCCCACCTTCAAGCCTCGGTGACCTAATGGGGGTGGACCCCTTACTGCACACGGCCCTTGTCTTCGTGGGAACGGGTCTCTTGCTGTGCACTGTCCACCTCCTGGCCTAGGTGACCTAATGGGGGTGGACCCCTTACTGCACACGGCCCTTGTCTTTGTGGGAACGGGTCCCTTGCTGTGCACTGTCCACCTCCTGGCCTAGGTGACCTAATGGGGGTGGACCCCATGTTTTATTGCTCATGACCCTATCACTATCCTTAAAGATGATTTCACTCACTGCCCTGCCCCCTAACCTATACACAATAAATACTCATGCTTCTGGACATGCGGAGCCTCGCCAGCCATGCCTCGCCAGCCTTGCCTGACTCTGCTTATAGGTCGCGTGGCCCTCGAGCCCCGCTGTATTTTCTTTGTACTTCTGTGTCCTGTCTCTTTATTTCTCGGATCCTGCGCCTCAGCACAGCATAAGGCTCACCTCACGACCCTGTGGGGCACTCAGCCCTACATCTGGCTCCCAACATGCCCTACACTTGGCACAATTCCTGACCAACTCTAAGGGATCAGCAATCATATTAATAATATAGTTAGTGATCAACAACTATATTAATATAACTTATTTTATAAATTGTCTCAGAAATAAGGAAACTGAGGCACGGCTCTACGGTGATATCCTGAAACTGGAACCCGGCAGTCTGAACACAGAGCTGCCCTCTTCCTGCCAGACTGCGTGCCTCCGAGTGCTACAACCGACCAGTAGAGAGAAGCCAACCCAGACAGCCCATTTATTTCTCTTTTTTTTTTGAGACAGAGTCTCGCTCTGTCACCAGGTTGGAGTGCAGTGGCGTGATCTCGGCTCACTGCAACCTCCGCCTCCCGGGTTCAAGCAATTCTCCTGCCTCAGCCACCTGAGTAGCTGGGACTACAGGCATGAACCACCATGCCCAGCTAATTTTTGTATTTTTAGTAGAGACAGGGTTTCACCATGTTGGCCAGGATAGTCGCAATCTCTTGACCACGTGATCCGCCCGCCTTGGCCTCCCAAAGTGCTGGGATTACAGGCGTGCACCACCGCGCCCAGCCCATTTATTTCTAAGGGACCAGCCCCCATGACAAGACCTCCTACGTACTGCTGGCTACACGTGCCCCTGCATGTGTCACCGAGCTCGGAGTCAACTGAATGACCTGCTGTCCCTGCTGAGCTTGACTGTAATTCCCTCTAGGAAGAAGCTGTGGACTTTCCTATTACACGTTTTCCTGTGATCTCCTGAGGCACTCAGGTTCTACTTTTGATTTCTTCAAATATTTGTGTTTCTACCACGGGCCAAGCACTGGAGATCCAAAAAGGAGCAGCAATTCCCGCCCCTTCCCAGGCCTTCAGCAGAGAAGTGAGGTGGACCTGCTCAATACCAGAAGTCTGAGCAGCCTGTCCTGTTTGGGCTACAGAGCTTGGGTGGTGAACCTGAGCTGGCCCTTTAGAAACTCTGGGAGGTGGGGCTGGCCTTTCTGGACAAACCGAGCAAGACAAGACTCAAGGACAACAGCCAGACTGTACGGGACTCGAACGACAAGACGAGAAGGTTAAGAATAACAGTTAGTATTTAGAGCATACTTGCTATGTGCTACCTTATTTAATTCTCATAAACCACCACGAGGGGTAGGATGTATATTATTACCTCTACTTCAGAAATGAGAAAACTGAGAGGCTTCAGTGGTGAAGACAAATGTGTCTATTCTCGGGACCACACTACCTTATTCTCCCACCCCTGCCCTGGGGTGTGTAATGAGGGGTTCTTATCAAAGCCAGCTGCAAGTCTATCTTGCCTATTATACATGCTGTCATCTTTGTGCAGTTAAGGATAACATCTGATTTAATCCAAAGGCCACCCAGCTTGCACACTGTGATAGAATAGAGATCAGGAACTCATGAAGGCAGGGGCAAGACGTATTTACCTTTATCTCCCAGAACCTAGAAGCAAACTCCAACAGGAGCGCTCGGGGTACCAAGAAGGCTCTGCAGACGTTGAAATGTGGCCAGCCCTTACCAGCTGTGTGACCTTAGGAAATTCACTTGTCCTTTCTGTGCCTTAATTTTTTCACCAACCTACGACTGTATGTTCCTCAGTGAAAAAAAAATTTTTTAATTATATTTAAAAAGCTAGGAAGCAATGAGTTTCCATAGCGTTACTTTCCAAGGATCAAGGTCACGCGCTTCAGGGAGAGCCGCTCAAACATCAAACGGTGCATCCCACACAACCCCTACCCACGGCCCCCGAACCGGCGGGGCCTTAAGTCTAAACGCGGAAGGGTTAACAGGCAGCTGTCCAGGGCGCCGCCGCAGTGACTGACTCCGCCTGACGCGGTTGGAGGAGTCACCGAAATGACAGGAGTGCAGGGTCTCCAAGAGGGCGCGAGTTTCCAGATCATTCCGGCCCACAGAACAGCAGAGGCTTTCGAACTACAAAGTTAGTGCCGGGTCCCTGTCACGGCCTCCGCCACTCAGACGATAAAACCGACGCACAGAGACAGACGCAGCCGGCCCGAGAGCAGCATGCGGCCCAGATCTTGCCTTCCGGCGCCCCCTGCGCCCCCCCACCCCCGCCGCTTACCTTCCTGAGGGCTCGTGCGCGGGACACGCCGGGCAGCCCCACGTCGTGGCGCGTCTTCCGGCCCAGGATCTGGAACTTCTGCCTGTTGACTTTCACCTCGAACGGATTGGAGCTGGCCTTCGCCGGGCCCCCTCGCGCTCCCGCCGGCGCCCCGGAGGGCTTCCTTCGCGCCTTGACCTTCTTGGCCTTCCCCATGGCGGGCGCGCCCCGCTGCACCCAAGGCGCCGAGATCCTATGAGTCGCGGCGCGCGACACCCCGAAACACGTGCGGGGCCGTGGATCCGCCCCCTGGCCTCGTCTCGCGAGAATTGCGCAGCACCTCGGAGCTCGCGAGAAATAAACACCGCGCCCGCAGGCTTTTGCTCGACTTATTTGCCGAAAGGCTCAGCGACTATAACTCCCAGCAGGCCACGCGCCGCGGCCCGCGCGTACTCCCGGCGCAGGGCCTTCTGGGAGCTGTAGTGCCCCGGGCGCGGCGGCGAGGGGCGCGCTCACTAGAGCTAAGCCGTTAGCGCGGAGCCTGCCCCGGTGCGGGTCGCGGCGGCGGCGGCGGCGGCGCCCTCGCCAGTGAGCCCCTGCGTGGGGTGGGCCTCGGCATTGACTCGGGGCTGCCCGGGGGCCCGGCCCTGAGGAGAGAGTTGCGCGCGCAAGGCGAGGGCCATGGGGCCGAGAAGAGCCGGGGCGACAGCGCGGCGGCGGTGACAGCGGGGACCCGCCGCCGTCGAGCTGCCCCCTCCCCTCGCCCCGACCGCTCCCCTGCTGGCAAGGGCCGGCGGCGGCGGCGGCGCCCGTGGTGGCAGTGGTGGCGGCGGAGGCGGAGGCAGAGCCGGCGGCGGCGCCCGTGGTGGCAGTGGTGGCGGCGGAGGCGGAGGCAGAGCCGGCGGCGGCGCCCCTGGTGGCAGTGGTGGCGGCGGCGGCGGGCCGGCCCCCCGGGACCGTGTCCGGGGCCGGAGGAGCGGGTGGCGCCCGGCGAGCTATGCGCGGAGGCGGCGGCGCCTCGCAGTGTTCCGACCCCTCAGTCTTCTGGGTTTCGCAGAATCCGCCGGCGGCAGCGGCGGCGCCGGGACATGGAGCTTGAGAACATCGTGGCCAACTCGCTGCTGCTGAAAGCGCGTCAAGGTGGGTGCGCGGCAGGCGCCCCCGATCGCCCCAGAGAACCCCGATTTCCCGGGAGAGCCCGACACCTCCCACTGGGGAACCCAGATCCGCACGGATCCTGAGCCGGGGTCTGGCGGTGCCGTCAGGCTGCCCTGGCCAGGTCCCCAGTCCGCATCTCCGGGCCCAGATGAGAGAAACTCTTGGTAGTCTGGCCCTGTGTCCTGGTCCTGTCCTCTAGGTGTGACCTCGGTGACAGCGTTGCTTCTGCATGAGGCAGGCAGTGTCCTGCTGGTATCGGACAACCTGGCCCACCGAAAAAGAACCGCGTCTTTATGGTCTTCAGGCGGACAAAGAAGAGCAGCACGGAAAGCATTCTGGGCGAGAACCTTCCGTGAACGACTGCAGGACAATGTTATTTTTAACATAGCAGCTTGGTTTTGAGGTTTGATCCGAGGCTTTATGGTGTGTCAAGTGCGCCTTAGCACGACGTGGTGACAGATGGACAAGCTGGCAAGCATTCATTCTTTTATCAATATGGAGGTATCAGTTGGCCAACTTGTCAGCAGGAGACCCCCGCAATCCTCTGTCTCAGACCCCATGTCTCCCTTTCTTGCCTCTCAAGAGAGCAGGCAACAGAGCCTCGGACCTCAGGTCCCCGTGCCAGCCGCAGTAGTTCTTCACGCCCCTTCCCTCTTACAGAATTGGTGGTTTCCTCCATTTCCTTGCGTGACGGAGCAGCTCTGCTCGAACTTTGTGCTGCAGGACGGGGTAAATACCGACTCAAGGTGCCACACCAGCCAGCCTGCATATTTAAAAGACAATCTGGAGCCGGGGTGGTGGCCTCGCTTATAGTCCCAGCTACTCTGGAAGCTAAGGTGGGAGGATCGCTTGAGCCCAGGAGAGTCCAGCCTGGGCAAACACAGCAAGACTATCTTTTAAAAAAAGTTGAAAACAAGGCCGGGCGCAGTGGGATTACGCCTGTAATCCCAGCACTTTGGGAGGCTGAGGTGGGCAAATCATGAGCAGGAGTTTGAGACCAACTTGGCTCAAATGGTGAAACCCTGCCTCTACTAAAAATAGAAACAATTAGCTGGGTGTAGTGGCACTGCCTGTAATCCCAGCTATTCCAGAGGTTGAGGCAGGAGAATCACTTGAGCCCGGGAGGCAGAGGTCGCAGTGAGCTGCGTGTGCCACTGCACTCCAGCCTGGGTGACAGAGTTGAGATTCCATCTCAAAAAAAAAAAAAAGAAGTTGAGAGCAAAGACTTCACCTTCTCAGTATTTTTGTGTACCAACTCACACTGTTTTGAATGGAAGAACTGAGAATGGGGGTGGAAGAGAATGGGGGTGGGATCTTTTTCCCTTAAGACACCTCGGGAGTCCCAGAGCGGTGCACATTCTCATCACCATCGTTTCAGTGGAGCACTTGACTGTGCCTCTTGTCCCTCACCCTGAACTCCAGACTGGTCATGGAAGAGAATCATCCTTAGTAGAAGCCAGATTGGAGCTCAGCCGGTTTTCTTTTTACACCTCCTTCCTATCTGCATATAATTTACAAAAAGGAATTCTACCAGGCTGACTTCCTTATAATGCTGCAGAGATTAGCTAATGAGGTAAATCTAAGTGCTCTATAAATGCTAGGCAACGTTAAACCAGATTCTGCCACAAAGCCTAGGACCACAGTGATAGTTTAAAAAACAAAAGTTTTAATTTCTTTCCCTGAAATATCTCATATTAGCTCTGTGGTGTGTGATTATGAGGTCTGCCTCATTGAGTGAGAGCATTTGCTCCTGTGTTCAAAAAGTCATGATGTACAGTTTGATTAATGGCTAGAGAAGTTGAACATATAGTATCAGAAATACATGGATATATGCTGAGTGTTGGTTATGATTTAGGGCTGTTTTTCCAAGTTGATGTCTGCATTTGTTACTTGCAAGTATCTCCCAGGACGTACCAGGAGGTGTCTTCTTGGACACGGAACTATTCATGGACAGACAGCTCCTTGTTTAGCTTCTTTGTCTCATGTACTAGAAAATTCACCTTTGAAATGAATGAACATAGCGCAAGAGTTACATTCTAGTCCTGAGAAGTGCAATGTTGATATAATATTACTTAGTCTGGTCATGTCCTGGATTTGTTTCAAATAGAATCAGTCAATCTTAGTCCCCCCAGCCTCTGGTCCCCGCCTATGATCTGAATGTTTGTGTTCCCCCAAAATTCTGATGTTAGAATCTTAGGTACGAAGGTGATGGAATTAGGAGGTGGGGCCTTTGGGGGGTGACTGTGTCATAAGAGAGGAGCCCTCGTGAAGGGGGTTATTGCCTTTATAAAAGCAAGTGGGGAGATACCCCTCACTTCTTCCACCATGTGAAGGACTCAGAAAGAAAGTACCAGCTATGAGTCAGAGAGTGGGCCCTCACCAGACACCAAATCTGTCTTGATCTTGGATTTCCTAGCTGCCAGGACTGTGAGAATTGCTTGAACCCGGGAGGCAAAGGTTGCAGGGAGCTGAGATCACACCACTGCACTCTAGCCTGAGCAACAGAGCCAGACTCCATCTCAAAAAAAAAAAAAAAACAAAACAGATGAAGGCAGCCCGTAGAGGGGATCCTGGGGCCTTCAAACAGTGTGGCCCCACTTCACTGCCTGCTTTTGGGGACCTCAGAAGCTTTCCTCTGACAGTTTTCAACCCAGTATGCTGCCCAGACTTTAGTGTCTGTGGATGATCTTCCTTTTAAATGCCTGTGGTCCTGCCAGCCACCATTGACCTCGCCACGGTCCCATGACTTATTGTGCTCTGCGTCATCTTGCCTGTTCCTTTACCTTCTGGCCTGCTTGTCTTCTCGTAGTATCGACAGCGTAGCCGGCCCACCTGGAGTGTGACCGGGCCTGGGCAGAGCAGCAGGAGAGTGCTGTGCCAGTGGAGACTTTTGGAACCAAGGACCGTTGAATGAGGGGTAGAGTGGCTGCTGGGGTTCAGCACATACGCCCTGAATCTGTGGCAAGGGCCCCCTTCCTCTCTCTCTCTTTAACCTGTGACACTCTGTCCCTTAGACCAAGCCGGGGACCTTGTGTAGCTGTGGTGTGCAGCTCTATGCCCCAGCTCTAGTAATATTTGGTGGGGGGGGTCCCGTGTTTAGAGGTTTGCAGTGTGTGCACTGCTGTGTGTGTTTGTTATTACTCCTAAAAATTTTTTTTGACAGGATCTCACTCTATCTCCCAGGCTGGAGTGCAGTGGCATGATCTTGGCTCTCTGCAATCTCCGCCTCCCAGGCTCAAGTGATTCTCTTGCCTCAGCCTCCCGAGTAGCTAGGACTACAGGTGCACACCACCATCCCTGGCTAATGTTTGTATTTTTTATAGAGATGGGGTTCCATCATGTTGCCCAGGCTGGCCTCAAACTCCTGAACCAAAGTGATCCGCCCACCTTGGCCTCCCAAAGTGCTGGAATTCCAGGCGTGAGCCACCACACCTGATCTTGTTATTTGCTCTTCAAACAAGTAAGTGCAGAGTCAGGTGCTCGGTGCTGAGTTCTCCCCTCCACCACCTCACCAAAGCCACCCTTGCCAAGTCACAGGGATTGGTTCTTGGTCCTTGTCTTGCTGCCCCACGGGCTGCGCCAGTGCAGCGCATCGTGCTTTCTTCGGTGAGCGTGCTCTTCTACGCCATCACCCTTCCTGTTCCGCTGCTGGGCTGGTCTCCCAGGCAGTCTAGACTTTATCTTGTAGACCTTTAAATATCAAATGCCCCCGATCCTCGTCCAGGGATTCCTTGCCTTCTCCATCCACACTTGCTCCCTTGTGCTCTTGTAGTACCGTGGCTTGAATATAGCTCCTGTCTCTCCAGTCCACGCCTGTGGGCTGGGCCTCCCCACTCACACTGCGGCTCACTGCGCTGCTGCCTACCTGACATCGCCACATGGAAGCCCCATGGGTACCAGAAAGAGCCTACACCAGACCCCGAGTACTCACCCAGCACCCCGATGTTTGCGTCTGCACCTCAGTTAATGCTTAGTTAGTGGAGCTGCCCTTGACTTCCTCACACCCTGACTCTCAGTACTTGGACAGCGTGTTCAGCCCTCGCTTCACAACGCAGCAGAATCCAGCCTTTCCTCACCTTCTCCACGGCGATCACGTGGCTCAAGCCGTCAGCATCTCACTGGAACACTGCGGGCAGCTTCTGCCTTTTCCACCCGACAGCCTGTTCTCAGCACAGCAACCAGAGCGATCCCACTAAAATTTAAGTCAGATCGTGTTGGCCCCTCCGAACCCTCTTCATGGCTTCCCAGACAACTCAGAGTGAAAGCCGTGGCCCCTGCAGTGGCCTGAAGACCCCGCTGCAGCCTCATCCGCCCTCGCTCACTCTGCCTCGACACGGTTTCCTCTGTCTCTCGAGAAGTTCTTCTTACAGGGTTTATTCTCTCACCTGAGGAGTTTCCTGGCTACCACCCGTCCCCTCATTTACCCTTTTTTTTCTTGGAGACAGGTTCTCCTTATGTTGCTTAGGCTGGCCTCGAACCCCTGGGCTCAAGCGAGCCTGCCTAAGCCTCCCCGGTAGCTGGGATTGTAGGTGCACACTGCCATTCCTGGCTCTCATTTACTCCTTATTTTCCTTCTTTTATTTTTCCCCACAGCACTTATTATTATCTTAGATAATCTAAATTTTACTTGTATTGTGTTTGTCGGGCTTTTTCTCTAAAATGTAAGCTTTATAAGAGGAGGAAGTTTTATTTGCTTTATTCACTACTGCATTTTTAGTGCCTAGAACAGTGGCTGGCACACATTAGATGCTTAGTAAATATTTGTTGAATGAATGAATGAATGTATGAATAGCAGTTAAGATCATGGACTTTGGAGCCAGCCAGACCTGGCTTTATATCTCAGCGCCCTCTTTATGCCATCTCTACGACTGTACCAGTTACTTCATCTTCATTCTAAAACGGTTTATTGTGTGCCAGGCACTCAGCTTGGCTCTGGGGATACAGGGATGAATGAAAACACAAATCTCCCCCTCTGAGAAGCTGACAGTCGTGGAGGAAAGTACTTAGCTCAGGGAACATGGAGAATTGTCCAACCCTGGAAGTGGGCATGCCCTTTTTTTGTTGTTTTTTATTCTGATAGTTTTGGGGGAACAGGTGGTATTTTGGGTGCATGAAAAAATTCTTTAGTGGTGATTTCTGAGATGTTGGTGCACCTGTCACCAAGTGGTACACCTGTTTTGTATGCTGCTGCGTCACGTGGCCACTAAGTGCAACTGGGGCAGACACTTCCTGGCAACAACTCTCCATCATGGGAGTGCGTCTGGAATCAGCATAGGACAGCTGGCTGGCCATGCCATGTCTGCCCCTCTAGCCACCAAATATCCATGCACAGACTTCCCTTACAGGGATCCTAATCTCCCTTCAAAGAGCAAAATGACCTCTCCTGCCGTGTTTCCTCTGTGAGTGCCTGCTGTGGCTCCTCAGGATTCAGCAGCCTACATAAACAACCAAATGGTCTTCCCTCCTCATACCTAACGTACCGTGGGGGGCAGAGGCAGGGTGACTATCATAGAGACTCCCTTTTAGAAAAGGAAGAATGGGGTGCCCTCAGTAGACACTGGTCTGTCCGTGAAGGGGCCCTGTGGGGGTGGGAACATTCCTTGATTCGTGCCCAGATTTGCCCTCATCTGTTCACCATGTCCCATGGCCCCTCCCCTAGGTCATTTTCCTCCTTGAGCCAGCTGAGATGGGCAGGCTCATGAACCTCCACAGGTTTCTTGAGCAGTGATGAGCTTTGCAGATGGACTTCTACTGATTTAAGTTTATGGGCTTGAAAGTTGTTTGAAGGCTCAAGCAGTTCAAGGCTGTCTTCATCCTTGATCCAAGTTCTTCAGCACCATACTTCTCCCAGGAACATAGTGGGCTTTTGATCTTGTTAAGCTGTTTACAGTGGCCATTGGTTTGTACTGAGCTCCTGTACTAGGCCCAACAAATCAAACCAAAATGGAGTCATTCATGCTAAAGTTCCATGTCACCATGCTGAAGGTTGTTTGACCTTCTGAGAAATCAGGAGAGAGTGATACAGTAGCCAAATCCCCAAACAGGCCAGTGACACCTGGCTGGGTCGTGACAGTGCTCCGGCTCAGCCACAGCTCTGCTCCAGAGTTGGAGCAGGTGCCAGGAGCAGCGAGAGGCCAGGCAGTGGGAATGGGCACTTCCAAGCCTGCGGGGGCAGGGGCCTTTCTGGGCCCGAGAGCACTGGGATGCCCGTGTTGCCAGCTGTGGCTGGGCACCTGCAGCTGCTCTCAGTAGTGCTGGGTTTCCGCCCCACCAACCCACAAGGGGGTGGGACTCCCACCTGTTCCTGGCTCCCACCGGCCGTGGCCACTGCTGCCATCATCACCTCATCCAGGCCCTGTCTGCCTTGCTGCTCGGCTCCTGACAAGGTGGAAGTACTGGTTCTAAGCCTCCAGACAGTGTCAGGCTTCGGAAAGGAAGGACGTAGCAGCCAGGCTGCCATGTTTCTTGCTAGCTACTTGAGTAGTATAAAGTTTGGGAGAGGCCCGGGACCAAGAGATAGTGAAATACGAATAAGAGCAAGAGGGACTTTATCTCTACTCAGTGATTTGGCAGCTCGGGCGCAGAGGCACCACTGAAGACGTAAGCCATGCCCCAGGGCACTTGTAGGTCATGCTTGTTGTCCACGTTCGGAACACAGAGGGCAGAGTAGTGCATCGGGCAAGTGACGGCTCAGCTCTGTGCTCCTTTAAGAGGTCAGGCAAAAATGGCATATCCCAAAGAACAGTTCTTATTTCAACTCAAGGGAGACCTGGCAAGAGCCCTGAAAAAAAAGCCATAACCAAAGATGACGGCCTTTTTTCAGAACCTACTGCTTCTCTGGAATGAGTTTCTGTGTTCTCCGTGAAGCGACAGGAGGAGCACCATCCCCTTTCCCCACCCTTCAGTGACACGGGACATGGCCGTCACTGATGCAGCATTTAAGCATGTTCTCTGGCATTGGCAGGTGGTTGTTACGTTTGTTAAATAATCAAATCTTAACAAAAAGAAAAAATGTGGACTGGATTTGAGGGGGAAGCTAATGAATCTAAGGTGGACATGTTGAACGTCAGGTGCTCTGGACATCTGGTGGTGTGGAACATGAGTCCAGAGCTCATGATCTCGGTTGAGGTATTGAGTCGGGGGAGTAGAAGAGCGAAATGAAGGCTGAGAAAGACACGCTTGCATCTTTGATGGTTATCTCTTTGCAGATATCAAGTCTGTTTCTCTAGCTGAGTGTCTTGTGGGCTCACCCCAGTCTACCCATCTTCCAAATGTCTGTCTCTTACAATTTTCCACACACATCGTATTTAAGACAGAGTTCGTCATCTCCCAAGGCAATGTGGCTTTTCCCCTGGTGTCCCAATTCTTCCAAATTGTCCTGGAGTCTTAGTCACCCAGCCTAAGCCATTATGTTCTGGATATTTAGTAAAATTTTAGCCGTCCTGAAGGCTGGAGATTGAAGATGCTTATTTCTCTGAGTTAAAGAAAAAAAATGGGGCTTGTTTACCAGATCTTTCTAAAGTATAATACTGTAGCCTTTTCCACCATTCTTGTTTCACCGTGGATGCTCTTCTCCCAGAACTTCCCAAGACTGTCACTCACATTCTTCAGGTCTCTGCCCAAATGTGACCCTCACAGGGAGGTCTCTGATCCTACCTTAGTCAAAATGGCACCCTCCACCTGGATTTTGTTTGTCACTCTATGACTGGCTGGTTTTTCTTATCACTTATCATGATCTGATTTGTGCATCTCTCTCCCTGTATTAGTCCATTTTCACATTGCTATGAAGATACTACCGGAGACTGGGTAATTTATAAACAAAAGAAGTTTAATTGACTCACAGTTCTGCGTGGCTGGAGAGGCGTCAGGAAACTTACAATCGTGGTGGAAAGCAAAGGGGAAGCAAGGCACATCTGACATGGCGGCAGGAAAGATCGAGAGGGAGACAGAGAGCACAGGGGAAATTGCCACTTTTAAACCATCAGATCTTGGCCTGCGCGGTGGCTCATGCCTATAATCACAGCACTTTGGGAGGCTGAGGCAGGTGGATCACAAGGTCAAGAGATCAAGACCATCCTGGCCAACATGGTGAAACCCCGTCTCTACTAAAAATACAAAAATTAGCTGGGCATGGTAGTGTGCATCTGTAGTCCCAGCTACTCTGGAGGCTGGGGCAGGAGAATCACTTGAACCCGGGAGGTGAAGTTTGCGGTGAGCCGAGATTGTGCCACTGCACTCCAGCCTGGCGACACAGTGAGACTCCATCTAAAAAAAAACAAAAACCCATCAGATCTCCTGAGAACTCCCTCATCATGGGAACAGCATGCGGAATCCGTCCTGATGACCCAGTTACGGGACTCCCACCACGCCCGTCTCAAATGCATGTGGGTGTTAGGTTTGAGATGAGGTTTGGATGGGATACAGAGCCACATCATCTCACTCCCCCATTTAGAATGCAAGGGAGGGACTTTGTCTTTTTACCATCGTATTCCCAGTGCTTTGAAGGTGTTTGGTACATAGTAGTTGCTCAATAAATATTTCTTGATAAATATTTATAAGCAACCCTGAACAATATGTCATATTAGATCTGGTTTACAGATTTGGAAACTGAGGCTCACCATGGCTTCTAACTGGTAGAGCCAGTGACAGATTGCATCACCCAGGAATTTTTTTTTTAATTGCATTTTAGGTTTTGGGGTACATGTGAAGAACATGCAAGATTGTTGCATAGGTACACACATGGCAGCATGATTTGCTGCCTTCCTCCCCTTCACCTATATCTGGCATTTCTCCCCATGCTATCTCTCCCCAACTCCCCACCCCCCACTGTCCCTCCCCTATTGTCCCCCAATAGACCCCAGTGTGTGATGCTCCCCTCCCTGTGTCCATGTGTTCTCATTGTTCAATACTCGCCTATGAGTGAGAACATATGGTGTTTGATCTTCTGCTCTTCTGTCAGTTTGCTGAGAATGATGGTTTCCAGGTTCATCCATGTCCCTACAAAGGACGTGAGCTTGTCGTTTTTGATGGCTGCATAATATTCCATGGTGTATATGTGCCACATTTTCCCTGTCCAGTCTATCATCGATGGGCATTTGGGTTGTTTCCAAGTCTTTGCTATTGTAAACAGTGTGCAATGAACATTCGTGTGCATGTGTCCTTATAGTAGAACGATTTATAATCCTTTATCACCTAGGAATTTTATACTTCATTAAGCAGCTTTCCAGATAAGAAAAATTATTATAAGCATGTATTTTTACTCATCATAGGTACCCAAACCACTCAAACAGAAATGATAAGATGTATTAGTGGAAGTAGTTGTTATAATTGGATATTTCTGACTGTTAAAAAAAATTGCCTTTTTTCTCCCAAATTCAGGAGGATATGGCAAAAAAAGTGGTCGTAGTAAAAAATGGAGGGAGTTACTGATGCTGCCTCCTGTCAGCCAGTGCAGTGAGCTCAGACATTCCATTGGTGAGTAAATAGTGCCTACGTATGCCTGGGTAGTGCCGCTGGCATTAGGCCATTCATTAGATGTTATTCTTTCTTGAGTTCCGTATTTGTTTCAAAAGTTTTATGATAAATTCCCCTATATCTTCATGATTCCTCTCAGGAAAAGAAAAAAAAGAAAACCCTTTAGATTTTCTGATCTGCAGTTATAAAGTTGGCTGTTGGCTTGAAAAAGAGGGAAAGAAAGGAAAAAGAAAAGAAAAATTTCTAATGATCTTCAGGAAAGGATTAGTCAAATAAAAATATGGTATATCAATATAACAGAATACTCTGCAACTATAAAGAATGAGAGGTAACGACAGGTCCTAACCTGAGCATAAGAAGTCAGATATAGAATCATGTCTATAGAGCAATCATAACTACTTTTTAAAGATAGAGTTTTCCGTTCAAAGGGCACATGCATTTAAAATTTTGATGTTGCTAAATCACCCCAAAAGATGATACCAGCTTACCTTTCTGCCAGCAGTATGTAACAAGCTTTCTTTTTCATGCCTTTGCTAATACTGGTTGTTACCAGTATTTTTAATATGTGCTAAACTGGAGTTTGAAAATGGTTTCTTATGTTGATTATGGATGGGGTAGAACATTGTCACTGGGTTTTTAAATTTTTTCCTTTTTCTTTCTTTCTTTCTTTTTTTTTTTTTTTTTGAGACAGAGTTTCGCTCTTGTTACCCAAGCTGGAGTGCAATGGCGCGATCTCGGCTCACCACAACCTCCGTCTCCTGGGTTCAGGCAATTCTCCTGCCTCAGCCTCCTGAGTAGCTGGGATTACAGGCCCACGCCACCATGCCCAGCTAATTTTTTGTATTTTTTTTGGTAGAGACAGGGTTTCACCATGTTGACCAGGATGGTCTTGATCTCTTGACCTTGTGATCCACCCTCTTTTCTAATTTGTTTGTAAAAGCCCTTTATATATAAAAGAAGTTATCCTTTTATATCCAATGTGGATATATCTTACAAATTTGCCTTTTTTCCCTTTGGCATACGGTGTCTTTTTTCATACAGAGGTTTTAGTATTTTATAGAGACAAATATGTCAGCCTTTTTCTTCTTGGCTTCTGAGCTTTGTGTTATCTGTAGGAAGGACACATTTATTCCTTTTTATTTTATTTATTTTTTTTTTGGGACGGAGTTTCGCTCTTGTTACCCAGGCTGGAGTGCAATGGCGCGATCTCGGCTCACTGCAACCTCCGCCTCCTGGGTTCAGGCAATTCTCCTGCCTCAGCCTCCTGAGTAGCTGGGATTACAGGCACGCGCCACCATGCCCAGCTAATGTTTTGTATTTTTAGTAGAGACGGGGTTTCACCGTGTTGACCAGGATGGCCTTGATCTCTTGACCTCGTGATCCACCCGCCTCGGCCTCCCAAAGTGCTGGGATTACAGGCGTGAGCCACCGCGCCCAGCCTTATTTTTATTTTTCAAAAGAACGAAGTCTCGCTGTATTGCCCAGGCAGGTCTCGAACTTCTGGGCTCAAGCTGCCCTCCCGCCTCTGCCTCCCTGAGAGCTGGGATTATAGGTGTGAGCCACAGCGCCCGGCAGGACACATTTATTCCAAGATTATTTCTACAAACCAATTCATCTTTCCTTTAATACTCTTGTAGTTCCTTTTAAAGAAAGTTGAAGTAATTATCAAAATGAGTTGCAGGTGGCATAAAGGAGCTATTATTTCACTCATTGTTTTAACTCCCCCATTGTTTTAACTCCACTAAGTTTTTTAAACAACTGCTTCCTGAAGATGTAATTCATACGCCATGCCACTTATCCATTTAAAGTATATAATTCAGTAGTTTTTAATATATTGAGTTGTGACACTGTCACCACAATAAACTTGACAGCATTTTCAGCACCCCGGAAAGAAACGACACGCCCATTGGCAGTCACTCCACATTCCCCCCTGTACCGCCAGAGCTGGGCAACCCCAGATCCACTTTCTGTCTATGTCTTTGCCTGCTCTGGACATTTCACATAAAAGGGAATCACGTGCTATGTGGTCTTTTGTGACTGGCTTTTTTCACTTAGCATAATATTGTCAAAGTACTTCGTTCTTTTTTGTTGCTGAATAACATTCTGTTATGTGGATATATCACATTTTATTTATCCATTCATCAGTTCATAGACATTTGAGTAGTTTTCTACTTTTGGCTACTACGAATAATGCTGCTATGAGTATTTATGTGCGAGGCTTTTGAAAATCATGATAAAATATACGTAACAAAAATAACTTTTTAAGTGTACAGATGAGTGACATTAAGTTGGATATTGCATGGATATACTACATTTTGCTTATCTGTTCATCTGTGGATGGACATTGGGGTGTTCCCAGTTTTGGGCTGTGTGAATTATGTTGGGAACATTGGTGTGCAAGTATCTGTTGGAGTCCCTGCTTTCACTTATTTTGTGTATGTCTTCAGAAGTAGAATTGTTGGCTGGGCATGGTGACTCACACCTATAATCCCAGCATTTTGGGAGGCTGAGGCGGGTGGATCATTTGAAGTCAGGAGTTCAAGACTAGCCTAGCCAACATGGTGAAATCTTGTTTCTACTAAAATTACAAAAATTTTTGGGCTGGGTGTGATGGCTCAATGCCTGTCATCTCAGCACTTTGAGAGGCCAAAGCAGGTGAATCACCTGAGGTCAGGAGTATAAAACCAGCCTGGCCAACATAGTGAAACCACATCTCTACTAAAAATACAAAAATTACCTGGGTGTGGAGGCACGCACTTGTAATCCAAACTACTCGGGAGGCTGAGGCAGGAGATTTGCTTGAACCCGGGAGGCAGAGGTGGCAGTGAGCTGAGATTGTGCCATTGCAGTCCAGCCTGGGTGACCGAGTGAGACTCTGTCTCAAAGAAAAGTAGAATTGCTGAGTCATATGGTAATTCTGTGTTTAACTTTTTGAGGAACACCGGACTCTTTTCCAAACCACGGCACCGCGTTATGTCCCATCAGCCACGTGTTCAGTTGCTTCACATCTTCCCCACTTTTCCTAATCCCAGTGCGCATGAAGTAGTATCTTACTGTGTTTTGATTTGCATTTCTCTAATGATTAATGATGTTGAGCATATTTTCATGTGCTTATGGGCCATTTGTAAACCTTTAGAGAAATGTCTGTTCATATCTTCTATTCATTTTAAAAATTGGATTGTCTTTTTGTTGTTGAGGTATAAGATTTCTTTTTTTTTTTTTTTTTTTTTTTTTTTGAGACGGAGTTTCGCTCTTGTTACCCAGGCTGGAGTGCAATGGCGCGATCTCGGCTCACCGCAACCTCCGCCTCCTGGGTTCAGGCAATTCTCCTGCCTCAGCCTTCTGAGTAGCTGGGATTACAGGCACGCACCACCATGCCCAGCTAATTTTTTGTAGTTTTAGTAGAGGCGGGGTTTCACCATGTTGACCAGGATGGTCTCGATCTCTTGACCTCGTGATCCACCTGCCTCAGCCTCCCAAAGTGCTGGGATTACAGGCTTGAGCCACCGCGCCCGGCCTAAGATTTCTTTATATATTCTAGATATTAGGTGCTTATCAGATAAGCAGGAGAATTGCTCAAACCTGGGAGGTGGAGGTTGCCTGCACTCCAGCCTGAGCAACAGAGGAAGGAGACTGTCTAAAAAGAAGAAGAAGAAGAAGAAATATTGTGAAAACAGTCTTAGGACAGCATGTGGTGGATTGTAATGATTGTATTTGTTTGCTTCTTACCCCTTGTCTTCACCCAGAAAAGGATTATAGCAGCCTTTGTGACAAGCAACCGATAGGAAGACTTCTCTTCAGGCAGTTCTGTGATACCAGAGCCACCCTAAAGAGGCGCATTGAATTCTTGGATGCAGTGGTAAGCAGCTTATCTCTATATTGAGCAGCCCACCCAATCTTGAGCTTTTAAAAGTTTAAAAACTAGACCTGGGCAGTGATGTAGGAGTGGATGGACTGGCGTCTTGGTCTCATATTGTCTTTTTAGTACGGAAACCCCGTTAGTATAAAGTGGTATTTCGTGTAGAATTACATGTGAAGTGTTGGAGCATCACATGTTGTCACTGAGTGACTTTGAAACTGGGGCTTTAATTTGTATGAAGATGACAGACTAAGATGGCAATGCTTGTTCAGCCACCGGAAAAGTGTCCTTTCTGCACTCAACTGGCCAATGCTCTGAACTTAAAAACACTTTAACCTAGAAGCCTACGGAAGGGATAAAGTTTGCATAAGAAGAATGATCATGTTGGATGCAATTTACTGTGTTCAATAAATTTTCTAACATTCCTCTGTATCCTGTTTGAGATTTACTGTGATTTCCTTAAAGAAATTTTGTGTTTCCAAATCTTTATGGATACCATTGGCAAGCCTACAACTTCAAAACTATGAAATTCAGAAGCAAGTGACCAACAGAAAATTGGGAGAATGTAACGGAAAAATGCTGCTACTTTTGTGCCAGGTTATGACCCTTCTCTCAGCTTTGGTCTGCCCTAGCTGTATCAGCAGATGTGTACGGAGCACTTGCCGTATGCAGACATATATGATGTGTCTCATATCATTGAGTCTGAATTTGTTTTTCCTCTAACACAGCTTTTTAAAGACTTGAAAATATATGTTTATTTATCATATATTCTTTCAGAAAAGCATTTGCAGCTGTTTTGTTTGCTTCCTTCCCCCAGACCTCTCCCAGCCCTTTCCTTTCTGGCACTGTTGCTAGAATAAGGTGATTCTTCTTCTTTTTTTTTTTTTTGGAGACGGAGTTTTGCTCTTGTCCCCCAGGCTGGAGTGCAATGGCATGATCTCAGCTCACTGCAACCTCCGCCTCCTGGGTTCAAGGGATCCTCCTGCCTCAGCCTCCCGAATAGCCTGGGACTACAGGTATGCACCACCACACCCAGCTAATTTTTGTTATTTTTGGTAGAGATGGAGTTTCCCCATGTTGGCCAGGCTGGTCTCGAACTCCTGACCTCAGGTGATCTGCCTGCCTTGGCCTCCCGAAGTGCTGGGATTACAGGAGTGAGCCACTGCGCCTGGCCAGTTCTTTTTGAAGCCAGAGTTCCAATGTGGTGGGGCATGCCTACTCAGTTCTCGGATGGAACCTGGGTATAAGTTTTCATGCAGTGGGTAATGTTTGCCAAGCTGCTATATTTTAAGAATTTAGGGACCTGCTGTTCTTCCTTATGTTAAAATAGCTAAACTGCATTGTTGAAACTCTGTTTCTTTTTAGTCTTCTGATAGTGTCATGTTACCTATCGCTATGAGGCGACAGCCATTTGACTGCAGTAATAGGTTATGTTTTTGCTTTTTCTATAGCCACTGTGTAGGTTCAGAAATAATGCCCGATTGTGCTATTTTGCTGCGCTTACTGCTTTGACCATCCTTGTGATAGGTGATGACAGGCTCTGTGAGCTTCTCAAGGGAAGGGGCTGCATCTTGTTCATTTCCCTCTCATGGCACCTGGCATGGTTGTTTGCCCTGTTTCTTGATCATTGAATGAATTAATGGCGTCTGTATCAGTCAGGATTCAACCAGAGAACCAGAACGCATAGGAGATGGATAGGACATTTACTGTAAGGAATTCGCTTACGCAATTGTGAGTCTGGTTAGGAAAGTGTGAAATCTGTAAGACAGACCATCAGGAGGGGCATGGTAGGACTCTCTGGAAATGGGCTGAAGCTGCTGTCCTCAGGCAGAATTTCTTCTAACGGGAGGACTCATCTCTGTTCTTAACACCTTTCAACTAGGTGTGAAGGTTAGGGTCACCTAGATTATCTAGCATAATCTCCTTCATTTGAAGTCAACTGATGGTAGACTTTAATCATATGTACAAATACCTTCACAGCAACACCTGGATTTGTGTTTGATTGAATAATTGGGGACTATAGCTTTCCTAGTTGGCTTATTGAAGGACCATCGCAGGATCAGACTTGCTTTCTCTTCCATTAATTGCATGCCACACGGTATCCAGAACTCCCAGCACTTAGGTGTGTTTTTTTTTTTTTTTTTTTTTTTTTTTGAGACTAAGTCTCGCTCCATCACCCAGGTTGGAGTTTAATGGCTCCTTCTCAGCTCACTGTAACCTCTGCCTCCCAGGTTCAAGTGATCCTTCTTGCCTTAGCCTCTTGAGTAGCTGGGGTTACAGGTATGCACCACCACACCCAGCTAATTTTTGTATTTCAGTAGAGACAGAGTTTCACTGTGTTGGCCAAGCTGGTCTTGAACTCCTGACCTCAGGTGATCAACCCACGTTGGCTTCCCAAAGTGCTAGGATTACACATGTGAGCCACCATCCCCACACTTAAGTTTAAAGATTCCTTAAGTAAACAGCATACTTGTTATTTGTCACGATGAGTACAGCGCCCTTGAACATAGAAGGTGAAGCTGGGTCTGTCTGGGTCATTAGGCTGATGGTCATGGAGCTGTGCTGGGCCTGTGAAGGATACGGGACCAGTAGATCAACTTCCTTCAGCCTTCATTTCCTTCCTTCTCTCTTCAGCTGCCATCTGGCTTTTGGCTTCACTACTCTTTTAAGGTCCGCTACGTGCAAAACCCTGTAGCTTTATGTGAGGCATCTTCATGCTGGAGTTTCTATGGCTGCTGACGTTATTGATTAGCTCCTTCTTGAAATTCTCTTAGCTAGACATTTATGACCTCTCCTTAGGTTTTCTTTTTCTCTTATCAATTATTTTCCAGTTCTTCTTTGTGGTCTATCCTCTGTACATTTTTAGATATTGGTCAAGGTGTGCTGACCATTCTGCTGGTTTCTGGCCTGGATGATACCACCCACTCCTGTGGTCTGTCCCGTGCACTAGTTGCAGATGACCCTACTTTGGTATCACCAGCTCTGACTTCCCCCGGGAGCTTTGGACCTAGCTTCACAAGTGTCCCTTGGACATCTGGAAATTGCTGTTGCCTAGAACAGTTTAAGCTGTTTATTTTATTTGGACACCTTTAATGGATGAAATGTAATACGGCATAGAAAGTATTATGGGAAGCATTGCTCTAAAACTTCATTAACCTCCTTTGAAAAACTGACTTCTTCCCCTCTCCTACCCCTTACTTTCCCAAAGAAGAGCTATAGATACTTGATCAATAGCATTGGTCTGTGGCTCTGAGGATATCAAACCAATCCTGAAAGTCAAAGAATTTGGAACATTATCAGTGAAGAAGCTTAACTACCTTTTTTTTTTTAAGAGATGGGAGCTCGCTGTGATGCCCAGGCTGGCCTCGAGCTCCTGTGCTCAAGTGATCCCGAGTGCTGGAACCGCAGGGCTGCACCACACCACACCAGCTTAACTACTTTTCTCCTTTCTTCCCTGTCTCCAATCAGGCAGAATATGAAGTGGCAGATGATGAGAACCGAAGTGATTGTGGACTGTCAGTCTTCAACAGTTTCTTCAATGATAAGGTGTGTTTTCTTCTTTATATTAAAGATTCGTAAATAAATAATCAGAGCACATAGCCCTTTTTACTTTGTTGGATAAGACATATGTTAAAAGCATTAATTCAGCTGAGTGTGGTGGCTCATGCCTGTAATCCCAGCACTTTGAGAGGCTGAGGAAGGAAGATCTCTTTAGCCCAGGAATTTGACACCAGTCTGGCCAACATAGTGAGACCATCTCTACAAAAAATAAACAAAAAAACTAGCTGGGCACAGTGGTGTGCATCTGTAGTCCCAGCTACTTGGGAGGCTGAGGTGCGAGAATCGCTTGAGCCCAGGAGATTGAGGCGGCTGTGAGCCAAGGCCACGCCAATGCATTCTAGCCTGGGTGACAGAGCAAGACCCTGTCTTAAAAAAATAAAAACTAAGATCAGGCCCAGTGGCTCATCCCTGTAATCTCAGCACTTTGGGAGGCCGAGGCAGGCAGATTACTTGAGCTCAAGAGTTTGAGACCAACCTGGGCAACATGGCAAAATGCCATTACTACAAAAAAGGGAAAAATAATTAGCTAAGCACAGGGGTGTGCACCTGTGTTCCCAGCTACTTGGTAGTCTCAGGTGGGAGGATTGTGTGAGCCCAGGAGGTTCAAGGCTGCGGTGAGCTAGGATCATACACTCTAGCCTGGACAGCAGAGTAAGACCCTGCTTCAAAACCACCCCCCAACATGAATTAATCTTAAAAAGCTTAACTTTATTATAAATGTTTCTCTTTTGCATTTTTTTGTTTGATGTCATGAGGAAATTAACAATTAGATATCTTTAAAACATTGATTCGGCCAGGTGCGGTGGCTCAGCCTGTAATCCTAGCACTTTGGGAGGCCGAAGTAGGTGGACCACAGGGTCAAGAGATTGAGACCATCCTGGCCAACATAGTGAAACCCTGTCTCTACTAAAAATACAAAAATTAGCTGGGTGTGGTGGTGCGTGCCTGTAGTCCCAGCGACTCGGAAGGCTGAGACAGGAGAATTGCTTGAAGCCAGGAGGCAGGGGTTGCAGTGAGCCGAGATCGTGCTGCTGCACTCCAGCCTGGCGCCTGGCAAAAGAGTGAGACTTCGTCTCCAAAAAAAAAAAGAGATTGATTCAAAATATTTAAAAGTGGCCGGGCGCGGTGGCTCAAGCCTGTAATCCCAGCACTTTGGGAGGCCGAGGCGGGTGGATCACGAGGTCAAGAGATCGAGACCATCCTGGTCAACACGGTGAAACCCCGTCTCTACTAAAAATACAAAAAATCAGCTGGGCATGGTGGCGCGTGCCTGTAATCCCAGCTACTCAGGAGGCTGAGGCAGGAGAATTGCCTGAACCCAGGAGGTGGAGGTTGCGGTGAGCCGAGATCGCGCCATTGCACTCCAGCCTGGGTAACATGAGTGAAACTCCGTCTCAAAAAAAAAAAAAAAAAACATTTAAAAGTTTCAGAATATAGAGTTGGAGAATTTTATTTGTCTCTCTTGGACTAAAAATAACATTTTTTTCTAAAAGTTTGAATGGGTTTTAGCTTTTAGGTTCTTGTACAGGTGTTGATCGACTTACCACCTATGCAACTTGCGACCATTCGACTTTACGACCACAATTGCTAGCCACAACTGCTCCGCGACTGGCAGCGCAAACGTTGCCCAGCTGGGCGTACGACAGTGCGGACCAGCTTCCGGCAGCACTACCATCTCCACGTGCACCATTTCAACTGTACATATAGCCTATTCAACTTACGACCGGTCCGCGGTCCCAACCGTGGTCGTAAGTCGAGCACTAGCTGTAGTTAGTATGTCGCTGCGTTAGAGCTGTTTCCTTCCATATGTCTTCTCTTAGAGAGCAGGAATAGAAATGATAGCAAACATGTAATTAGTACTACTCCAGGCCGGGTGCAGGGGCTCACGCCTGTAATCCCAACACTTTGGGAGGCCAAGGCAGGCAGATCATTTGAGGTCAAGAATTTGACACAGGCCTGGCCAATATGGTGAAACCCTGTCTCTACTAAAAATACAAAAATGAACCAGGCATGGTGGTGCATGCCTGTAATCCCAGCTACTAGGGGGGCTGAGGCGTGAGAATCACTTGAACCCAGGAGGTGAAGGTCGCAGTGAGCTGAGATCGCATCACAACACTCCAGCCTGTTCAACAAGTGAGACTCTGTCTCAAAACAAAACAAAACAAAACAAACAATATAACAAAAAAACACAACACTGCTCTAACATGTAGTACATTATGTAATTATCACAGCAAACCGATGAGGTAGATAGTATTGTCAAGTCTATTTTCCTACGATAAGACTGAAAATCAGTGACCAAGTGACTTACCCAGGGTTACACACCCAGTAAGCGTCGGAACCAGGAACCAAACATGCAGAGAATGGAATTAGAGAATAGTGTGGTGAGAATGAGTTCAAAATATTTGGGTTTGAAGCGTAGCCAGCTGCATAGAGGGCCATCAACTTCGGGGAGCTTTGCTGTGCAAAAGATAGAGCACCAGCAGGACCGTCTACCAGCACAAAGACCCATGCAGCAGGTGGTGTCAGAGGCATGACTCAGACCCTAATGAGTTTCTGCCCCAGCCTCCAGCCCCACAGGTTCCTCTTCTCAAACATAGCAGTTACAACATGCTCATATTTGTAGGTGCCCCAGGACACTAGTTAGAATGAGTAGAAGTTTCATTTATCTAGTTCTAATTTTTAATTTTTTTTTTTGAGACAGAACCTCGCTCTGTTGCCCAGGCTGGAGTGCAGTGGTGCGATCTCGGCTCACTGCAACCTCTGCCTCCAGGGTTCAAGTGATTCACATGCCTCAACCACCTGAGTAGCTTGGATTACAGGTGTGTACCACCACACTTGGCTAATTTTTGTATTTTTAGTACAGACGGTGTTTCACCATGTTGGCCAGGCTGGTCTTGAACTCCTGGCCTCAAGTGATCTGCCTGTCTTGGCTTCCTAAATTGCGGGGATTACAGGCATGAGCCCCACACCCGGCTCCATTTATCTAGTTATTTTGTCTTTTTTTTTTTTTTAACTCCCTTTTCTTTTTTCACCTCTCCTGAAGATACCCATATAGCAAGGGAGGGTATCAAGAAGAAAGGAATAATTATAAAGAGGAAAGAAAGATTTCAAAATGAATGATGGTAGCTGTGGCAAATGTGGAAGGGGAAGGAAGGGAAGTTACGTATCCGTGGCTGGGTGCCTCAGTCTGTTCTGTGCTGCTGTAACAGAATGCCAGAGATTGGGTCATTTATTTAACTTCTATTTTAAGTTCAGGGTACATGTGCAGGTTTTTTAATGTAGGTAAGCTTGTATCATGGGGTGTTGTACAGATTATTTCATCACCCAGGTATGAAGCCTAGCACCCATTATTTATCTTTCTTGATCTGCTCCTTCCTCCCCGCCCAATCATCCAATAGGTCCCACTGTGTGTTGTTCCCCTCTGTGTCCACGTGTTCTCATCATTTAGCTCCCACTTACAAGTGAGGACATGTGGTATTTGGTTTTTTGTTCCTGTGTTAGTTTGCTAAAGATAATGACCTCCAGCTGCATCTGTGTCCCTGCAAAGAACATGATCATTCTTTTTTATGGCTGCATAGTATTCCATAGTGTATATGTACCCCATTTTCTTTATTCAGTTTATCACTGATGAGCATTTAGGTTGATTCCATGTCTTTGCTATTGTGCATAGTGTTGCAATGAACATATGCATGCATGGAGACTGGGTAATTTATAATAAAAAGAAATGTCTTGGCTCACAGTTTTAGACGCTAGGATGCTGAATTCAAGGTACTGTTGACCTAAAAGGAAGAAGCTGAGACAGAAAATGTAATTTTATTAAAGAGTTAAAAAAAAAAAAAACTGGCCGGGTGCGGTGGCTCACGCCTGTAATCCCAACACTTTGGGAGGCCGAGGCGGGCAGATCATGAGGTCAGGAGTTCAAGACCATCCTGGCCAACATGGTGAAACTCTGTCTTTACTAAAAATACAAAAATTAGCTGGGGGTGGTGGTGCGAGCCTGTAGTCCCAGCTATGTGGGAGGCTAAGGCAGGAGAATTGCTTGAACCCGGGAGGCGGAGGTTGCAGTGAGCTGAGATTGTGCCACTGCATTCCAGCCTGGCGCCTGGCAACAGAACGAGACTCTGTCTCAAAAAAAAAAACCAAAAGAACAAAAAGAGTTTACAGCCGGGCGAGGTGGCTCACATCTGTAACTTTGGGAGGCCGAGGTGGGCAGATCACCTGAGGTCAGGAATTCAAGACCAGCCTGGCCAACATGGTGAAACCTCTCTTCTACCAAACAAAAAAAAAAAAAAAAAAAAAAAAAATTAGCTGGGTGTGGTAGCACAAGCCTGTAATCCCAGCTACTCGGGAGGCTGAGGGAGGAGAATTGCTTGAACCCGGGAGGCAGAGGTTACTGTGAGCCAATATTGTGTCACTGCACTCCAGCCTGGGCGATGAAGTGAGACTCTTTCTCAAAAAAAAAAAAAAGTGTTTAGTTGAGCCAAAGTAAAGACAGCTGCATGGGACCCACTCCCAAGTTGCCTTGGGAAGTGCTCTGTTGGCCTTGGTTACTGGCAGGCTTTAAAGGCAAAGGAGTGGGCTGATACAAAGTTGTTTGACAGGAACTCTCACTGATTTAAGAGAGAACAGTGATCAGTGATTGGCTCTACATTGTTGAACGACAGGGTGAGAGTGTGAGTTGCGGTGTGCAGTATATGGCATTTATAGAGACTTGGCATCGGCCTAGAGACCACTAGTATGTGGCTTCAAGACGTAATTATTTAGCTCAGGGGGCAGTGAGACATGACTGCCCTGGGCCTGATAATTTGAAGGGGCTCACATTCCTCAGACAAAAAGCTTCTTTTTTTCCCCCTCTTAGTGCCAGCATCTGGCAAGGGCCTCCTTGCTGTATTGTCACATGGTGGAAGGGCAGAGAGAGAGAGATTGCTTGCACACATGTCTGAGCATGTGCACACAAAACAGGGTGACCTACTCCAGGTTAACCA